CTTTTAATAACGCAATGAACGTCCGTCAAAGTTGACAGCGCACGCGGACCTGCGCTATCTTTATCCACAATACAAGAGCAAAAACATGCCTATACAAAGTTTGTTGTAACTCTTCAGAATAGATAAGAACTCCCAATATTTTTTCATATTTAGAAAGATTATGAGTCGGAAATATGATTTCATGTCTCAATTGACCCTCAATTAACTCATGAAATCATCATAATGGCCTCCGAACTCAAAATTTCAATTTGCATATTATGATGTCAGCAGATTTTTGGAAAATTGATTGTATCTCTGTAAATATTGATTGATTTTCTTTCAAATTTTGAAATGTTTTAGTTGAGACAATTCTCTACAAATTTAGTGTTCACAATTTTTCATTTTGACAAAGGCATCATGGCTTTTTTTTTCGATTAAAGGAGGCATGTCAATTTTTCACATTTTTCGTGTATTTTCTATGGGACATGACTTTTTCTCAAAACTGGATTCGACACTCCTGTCTTTCGCGAGCAAAATCTCCGTTGTTTTAGCTTCGTTTTCGCTGAGCTTCGAATATGTTGTAGCTGAGACGGTAAGCTATCACCAATGTGCCTTTTATTTTTCGATCAGATGCCGGGATTATGCTCATATTTCACTTGAAAAGTAGGATTTCAGAATTCCATTTCCCGTTTACGTGTAATCGCTATGGGAAATGTTTGGGTATATCTGTAACGCACTTGACTTCCATCCTCGAGATCCATGGTTCGAGTCCGGGTGTCTCCAACAATATTTTTCTTCACTTTTTTTTTTTTACCTTTCACTGTACCATATCTCCTTTGATTAATAAAACACGTAGAGTCGCAAATAATGTAATGAACAACTCTATTTACTTTATTATTACCCTATTTTCACTAAATCCATTACTTTTTGAGTTTAATCCCTATGGGAGATGACTTTTTCTCAAGTCTGGATTCTACATTCCTGTGTTTTGAGCAATATCGCTGGTATTTCTGCTTGGATTTTGTTGATTTTTGAGTATGTTGTAACTGAGACAAGTTTCCACAATATTTATGTAGACTAACATTATCATGACGTTATCATAGTCAAAAATTCAACCATAGGTGACATGTCAATTATCATATATAACAATCCTCAATCGAATACCTGAAGGGGGCGCTATACCACTTTTAATCATGGTCATCTGGAAGGCATTGTTCTCAATTGCATCTCTCTCTCTTCTCTCTTTTGCTCTTTTTCCTTCTTTTCTCATGTTCTGCCCCTCTCCTTTTTTGGTCTGTCTCTGCATCTATCTATCTCTCTTCTCTTTCACCCTCTCCCTCTCTCTCTCTCTTGCCTTGCCTTCCTCTTATTATCTTGGTCTGTCTCCCTCTGCCCTACAGTTGAAACTTGACTCATGGATAGACCATAATGGGAGTAGTAAACTAAAGATGAAATCGTGAAAATGCGTTCTTCATTATGATACACATGAGCATACGTATCACCTAATTCGTCAAAGTGACGAATTAGAGTCTAGTATTTATTTTGTGTCTGTATAGAAGAAATTATTATTATTCTTCCTCAATTTTGTTCACAGGATACCTCAAGAATTGCAAAAGCCATTGTCATGAAACTTTCAATGATGATAGATCTTAGTCTAACTTAGAACTGCATGATTTTTCAAAGACTCAAAATTATCGTCATCCAGGCGCCATTTTGTGAAAATCAACTGATGATCATATCTTCATAACGGAAAGTAATTTTTCATTCATATTTATCATGATTAAGATCAATATCCTTCCGGTCAATTTAAGATAAAAAGAACGTACACAAATCCGCGCGTACGCGTTCTTGCGCGCAAAAATTAAAAATGCTCCAAATCATTCCCAATTTTGTTTGCATACGTTTCAAGCCATATGAAGCATATTTGACAAAAAATCACTCAAAGGCGCATGCGTGCGCGTTTTTTGCGCGTTTTGGCATTTTTCAACATATAATCGCCAAATTTTCTCTGTCATCAGGTTTGGCACATTTTTCCAAGCATTTTGATATCATGTTCATCTCTTTATCACTATTAATAACGGAATGAGCGTCCGTTCAAGATAAACATCCGAGCGCGCGAGCTCATGCATTACATAGTATATATAGGCAAAAACATGCCTATAAAAAGTCCATTGGGATGAACAAGGACTGCCAAGCTTTTTTCAAATTTTGATAGAGTATGAGTCGGAGATATGATTTCATAGCTCATTTGGCCATTAAATACATCTTGACGTCATCATAATGGCCTTGAAAGTCAAAATACAAAATTGCATATTATGACGTCATTATATTTATGGAAAATTTAGTGTATTTCTCATATTGTTGACTGATTTTCTTCACAATTGCAGTATCTTGTAGCTTAGGCAATTGCCTACAAGATCAATACACACTGCTTTTTATTTTGTTAACGTCATCATAGTATAAAATTCAATTAAAGGCCACATGTCAGAATTTTCTCAATTTGCGTGTTACGTCTATGGAAGGTGAAATTTGTTCACATCATGAATCTACATGACATTGATCTTTGAGCACTATCTAGCTTTTTTGTGCTCTATGTTCTCCCAAATTTTGATATGGTGTAGCTAAGAAAATTATCTATCAGAATGATGTACATCATTTATCATTTTGATGACATCATCATAGTGACAATTTCAATTAAAGGCGACGTGTCAGAATTTTCTTAGTTTGCGTGTTTGGCGACTTTTTCTGAAATCCTGATTCTACAAATCTCTATCAAATACCTGAAGGGGGCGCTATACCACTCTTAATCATGGTCACCAGGGAATTTCAGTTTAAAATCTTACATAACATCATATTTTGTAATGATAAACTGTATCTTTTTGGGTTAACACAGTCAAATGTATGTTCCTTTTGTAGAAAAGAGGTAGAAACCTATCGTCTTATCTTCTTTGAATGTTCTGAAGGGTCCAGAATATGGAATGAGGTGGGAAACAATTTAAAGATGTTTCAGTTTCTTAATATGCAATGGATTGATGTGTTACTAATTGGTTTCATGTTCTGCCCCTCTCCCTTTTTTGGTCTGTCTCTGCATCTATCAATCTCTCTCTCTACTCTTTCACCCTCTTTCTCTCTCTCTTGCCTTGCCTCCCTCTTATTCTATTGCTCCGTCTCCCTCTGCCTTACACAGTTGAAACTTGACTCATGGATATAGACCACAATGGGAGTAGTATTTTATAACGTAAGATGAAATCGTGAAAATGCGTTCGATATTATGTTACACATGAGCATGAATTACGTATCACCTAACGGGTCCTGGATGCTGGAGGGCTGGCCTGTCCCTTGCCTCTATCACCGTCATCTGACGAAGAATTTGCCATCCGAATAATGAGAGCGGTTTCTATTTGGCTTGTAGTTTAGAGGCCCTGACGTGGCTCCGTTTTCCCAAAGTATATGAGTGTGGAGATGAGAGGTGTTTTGGATAGCTGGACGTGTATTCTCTATGAGAGGATTATATTACATCAGTCTATGGAGACTCAACTAATTACACGTTATGAAACGATGGATTGTTTAACTGTATACTTTATTAATACAAACATAAGTCAACTTCTCCAACATGTTATCATAGTTAACACCGACACCAATTACCTGTATTAATCTCAACAAGTAGTAAAGGCAGGGATTGCCTTTTGTAGGAACTCTATTTCTCGCTTCCAGTCCTTTTCCTTACTTTAGCTCAGCTGGAGAAAAGCGGAGAGTTCGCTATCTGACCAAGACGAGAGCCAGCGTCGAAGTGACAAAATTACCGTAAAATACTGGTATTTATAGCCTCTGAGACGCTCTGAGAGCTGCTTTATGCATGGTGCGTCTGTAATCGCGCTCTGAGCCCTTATGCCCCTAAAGCTTACTGCGCCCCCTACGTTTTCTGCAAGATAACTTAAATTGTGGCGAACTGGTTCGTTACAGTACTGAAATTTGTTGCGAGTTCATCATAAACATAAGTTATTTTAATATCTGACTTTCTGAGACTTTCAATAGATATGAAGCGTTGATCATGATGATCAAGTTTCGGTAAATGTCATCAAACTTATTTGAGATTTCATCTAATTTGCTACTACCATTGTTCGAGAGTGCCTCCTTGGAGTCCTCACTGTCTAGGAGCTCCTAATTGATAGCTTATGCTATTGCTGTCTGTTTGGGAGGCATTGTAGTAGCTGGACTAGCGCTAGGGTCGACACTAATTACTACGTCACTGCAATCACGATTATCACACCGGTATTATTATCAATGCATGTACGCAGTTCACTAACCGTTACATCAAGTATGGGACCGTAGTAGATTGTTTCGAAGATCCTACTATATCTATCAACAGTTTGCACAATAATGGTAGCTTAATTCAATATCATTGATTCATAAGTGTTACAATTCCGTATTCAGTACCCATTCATTCATTATATTAAACAGATTTTGCAGTTCTCTTCCTCCTTATTGGCAATATATTCTTGTAGAAAGTAATTCTATTGTCCAAGTTTTAACATGAGTCTGCAGTCATATACCGTGTACATGAAAAAAATACTGGTATCTTTCTTATTTTCTGGATGTCTGCACAACAGTTTAAACCGAGTTTGGATAAAAACTATAAAATCAAGAAAACTGCTGGCAAGTTCCTGAGTTCTGTTTGGGACCAGATATGGTTTAATTCATTTTGATTTAATACATAGAAAGCAAAAATCATCTACTTAGATGCATTTTGCTTGGTCCCATCAAAGTCAACTTGGGCGAAAGTCAAATTTTCTTTGATTTACACACATATCGAAAATTTCAATTCATCCTGTCAAAATTGATGTATGCGAAGTTGACTGTATTGAAGGTTTTAAGCATTACATGATAATCTGCATCTAGGCAGACTGGTTACGCCTGGTGATATATCTTTACTCTTCAGTGATTTTCATTTTAATTCTGGCACTTACCAGAGCTCGACCTTCTCTTCAATAGGGATGTAATTACTTTCTTTTTCTCCCTAGAGTTGGACAATGGACAAGACAATATACACCCACATATAACAGCATGCAGTGGAGAGGAGACCCATCTGTGTTTACATTGCAGTAAGACATTTACAGATGAGAACACTCTTATACTACATCGGAAAACACACCAGGTCGACTATGAGCTTACTAGCCACCTTGGAACACATACTGGAGAGAAAGCCTTCAAGTATTCCCAGTGTGATAAGGATAAGGGTTTTTCTCATAGAAGAACCCTTAATAGCCATTTAAGAACACACAGTGGAGAGAAACCTTTCAATTGTTCCCAGTGTGTTAAGGGATTTTCCCATAAAAGTACCCTTCGTAGACATTTTAGAACACACAGTGGAGAAAAGCCTCATCAATGCTCCAATTGTAATAGGACATTTTCTTACAAGACTAGTCTTACTCGTCATCTTAGAACACATACAGGGGAGAAACCATTTAAGTGTTCCCAGTGTGATACGGCTTTTCCTCGAAGAGGAACCCTTAATAGCCATTTAAGAACACACAGTGGAGAGAAACCTTTCAAGTGTTCCCAGTGTGATAAGGCATTTTCCCATAAATGTACCCTTCGTAGACATTTCAGAACACACAGTGGAGAAAAGCCTCATCAATGTTTCCATTGTATTAAGAAATTTTCTTACAAGACTAGTCTTTCTACCCACCTTAAAATACATACAGGAGAGAAACCCTTTAAATGTTCCCAGTGTGATGAGGGTTTTCCCTATAAAAGTAACCTTATTAGACATATAAGAACACACAACCTTAAGGGAAAGCCTCAACGAGGTTCCCATTGTGATAAGATGTTTTATCAAAAGAATGAGCTTACTAGCCACCTTAGAACACATACACGAGAGAAACCATTTAAGTGTTCCCAGTGTGATAAGGATTTTACTTGCCAAAGTAATCTAGGAAAGCATCTAAGGACGCATACAGGAGAAAAGCCTTTTCACTGTTCCCATTGTGAAAAGGGTTTTTCTGAAAGAAGTACCCTTATTAGACACCTTAGAACACATACAGGAGAGAAACCCTTTAAGTGTTCCCAGTGTGATAAGGTTTTTACTCGCCCAAGTTATCTTACCACCCATTTAAGAACACACAGTGGAGAAAAAGAGCCGTATCAATGTCCCCATTGTGATAAAGGATTTTCTGAAAAGAATAATTTTACATGTCACCTTAGAACACATACAGGAGAGAAACCATTTAAGTGTTCTCAGTGTGATACAGGTTTTGCTCAAAGAGGTACCCTTGTTAAACATTTAAGAACACACAGTGGAGAAAAACCTCATCAATGTTCATATTGTGATAAAGGATTTTCTGAAAAGAATAATCTTACACGTCACCTTAGAACACACACAGGAGAGAAAACATTTAAGTGTTCCCAGTGTGATGAGGGTTTTTCCCATAAAACTTCCCTTAGTAGACATTTAAGATCACACAGCCTGACTGAAAAGCCTCTACAATGTTCCCATTGTGATAAGACATTTTCTCAAAAGAATGAGCTGACTAGCCACCTTAGAACACATACAGGAGAGAAACCAGTTAAGTGTTCCCAGTGTGATAAGGGTTTTTCTCAAAGAAGTCACTTTACTAGACATTTAAGAACACACAGTGGAGAAAAACCTTTCAAATGTTTCCATTGTGATAAAGTTTTTTTTTCAAAGTAGTACCCTTATACGCCATTTAAGAACACACAGTGGACAAAAGCCTCATTGATGTTCTCATTGTGATAAGATTTTTTCTGAACTAGGTGATCGTAATCATAGTATTAGGACACATACACAATGTACATGTACTAGAAAAAAATAACATAAAAATGTCTCGATTATATTATGAGATTTTCTTATCACAGGGATGTTATTAGCTAGCTTAGATAACATTCAGGTAGGAAACCCTTTAATGTTCTTAGTGTGTGTACAGATTTTTCTGAAAAAAGGTCATCTTACCTGTCATGTGAGGACACACACTAGGGAAAACCTTATGAATGTCATGATTGTAGTATAACATTTTCTTATAAAAGGGATTTTACTACAGGAGAGAGTGTTCCTAAAAAATAAGGAATTTTCTCGTAAAAGTGAGCTCACAAGGCATATAAGAACACACCCTATAAATGTTAAGATTGTGATAAAGGTTTTTCTCAAAGAGGTACCCTTATTAAACATTTAAGAACACACCGTGGAGAAAAACCTTACCAATGTTCATATTGTGATAAAGGATTTTCCGAAAAGAATAATCTTACACATCACCTTAAAATACAAACAGGAGAGAAACTATTTAAGTGTTCCCAGTGTAATGAGGGTTTTCCCCATAAAACTTCTCTCAGTGGACATTTAAGATCACACAGCCTGACTGAAAAGCCTCTACAATGTTCCCATTGTGAAAAACCTTTCAAATGTTCCCATTGTGATAAAGGTTTTTCTCAAAGTAGTACCCTTATACGCCATTTAAGAACACACAGTGGAGATATGCCTCATTGATGTTCCCATTGTGATAAGATTTTTCTCAACTAGGTGATCGTAATCATAGTATTAGGACACATACACAATGTACATGTACTAGAAAAAATAACATAAAAATGTCTCGATTATAATATGAGATTTTTCTTATCAAAGGGATGTTATTAGCTAGCTTAGATAACATTCAGGTGGGAAACCCTTTAATTTTCTTAGTGTGTGTACAGGTTTTTCTGAAAAAGGTCATCTTACCTGTCATGTACGTGAGGACACACACTAGGGAAAACCTTATGAATGTCATGATTGTAATATAACATTTTCTTATAAATGGGATGTTGCTACAGGAGAGCATGTTCCTAAAAAATAAGGAATTTTCTCATAAAAGTGAGCTCACAAGGCATATAAGAACACACCCTATAAATTGTAAGTTTGTGATAAAGGTTTATCTCAAAGTAGTACCCTTACACGTCATTTAAGAACACACAGTGGAGAAAAGCCTCATTAATGTTCCCATTGTGATAAGATTTTTCTCAACTAGGTGATCGTAATCATAGTATTAGGACACATACATGTACTAGAAAAAATAACATAAAAATGTCTCAATTATAATATGAGATTTTTCTTATCAAAGGATGTTATTAGCTAGCTTAGATAACATTCAGGTGGGAAACCCTTTAATGTTCTTAGTGTGAGTACAGGTTTTTCTGAAAAAAGGTCATCTTACCTGTCATGTGAGGACACACACTAGGGAAAACCTTATGAATGTCATGATTGTAATATAACATTTTCTTATAAATGGGATGTTACTACAGGAGAGAGTGTTCCTAGAAAATAAGGAATTTTCTCATAAAAGTGAGCTCACAAGGCATATAAGAACACACCCTGTAAATGTTAAGATTGTTTTAAGAGATTTTCTTTTAACAGTAATCTTACTAGTTATCTGAAAATACATACTGGAGAAAAGCCATTGAAATGTTGACTTTATTCTGAAAGGGATTTTATCGTTTATACAGTGCATGATCTTGATAATTGCCTGATAACACACAGAGTAGAAATGTCACATAAATGTCTTAAAAGTAATAAAGGGATTTTGTTGTATAAGTGGTCTTTATAATAATATAATCCTAGGTTTATATATTGCTTCAAATCTGAATGCATAAAAAAGCAGTTTGTGAAGGACATTTACATAATAATGAGTGGTACATTATGAAATATAGCTTACAGAATACATTGAAGATAACATTGATAACAATTTTTACATACTTGTTTTGCCATTTCAATGTATGTTCAGCATTTGTCCTTGTCTTGTGGTAATAACTCTTTCCACTTTTTCTAAATAAATAATTTCCAACTTGAACTGTGACCATTATTAAATCTCTAGTTGTACCAAAATTGATTTATTTACTTTGTATTCTTCCTGATCCTCCTTTATCATTCTTTTCAGAACTTCAGAGAGTACTCTTTAAATTTGTATGGAGTAATAAGAAGGACAAAATTAGACGCTCTTTACTTTACAATGAATATAAAGGAGGAGGCCTTAAATTAATGCCTCATTTATTATCTTTTAACCGTGCAATGAAGTTACTTGGATAAAGAGATACTTAGATGAAGACAACAAAAGTAAATGGAAAATGTTTTTTGCACATTCTCTGAGACGTATGGGAGGTGATATTTTTTTCAGCAGCAATCTCTGCTCTGATCATTTAATGTTCAATAAATACACAGATCCTTTCTGGAATGATATATTGATTGCATGGAGTCACTACAAGTACTACAACCCAGTTAAATTCAAAGAAATTATTTCCCAACCCTTTTGCCTGAATTCTCATATACTGGTAGGCAGAAAACCTCTCAATATTAATATACGTTTTAATTCTGATATGATATATGTTAAGAATATAATCAATAATTTTTAATTCGTCAATACAGTTATTTCTTTTTTGCAAAATATTTTATATTCACTTGTAAAATGCAAAACCTTATTCCACTATTTCCTTCTTTTCAACGAGCTCTCAAACCTTTAGAAAATATGAAACATATAATTGCTTTCAAGAAAAATTGTCTCGATCTTCATAATAAGAAAAGGCAGATATTTTGTTAACTTTTTTATTTATATTGCTGATGAGTTAACTATTACACTATATTTGTATTATACATATTCTATGTCTATACGAACATGTTATTATTACTATTATTATTATCATGTACTACTGTTAATATGAATGAGATTTGTTTTCATTAAATATTTTGGAGAAAAAATCTTGAACTGTATAAATTTTAAGTTATTTTTGGGGCATTTATTTCGAAAAATAAAGAGTTGACCATGCATAACAAAAGCAAAAGTGTTAATTATTTTGTTACTCTTCTCAACTCCAAAACATATATCTGTGACTGAGAATGGAAAACTAAATAATTTGAATTCACGGAGCAAATTACTGATATCTTTCCAGAATGTTTTTACAACAGGACACGTAAAGAACAAATGAATGAACGTTTGCATATATATTTGTTTGACCAAAATTGCACATCGGTGTACTTTTTATACCAATACAGTGCAAATAATAATTTGGAGAAATTCTTTGATGGAGGAATTTGAACTGAAATTCTCGTAATCTGGAATCTAAAGTTGTCAGAAGTGGCATGGTGAAACGATTTTGCCACTGTATTGTAATTTCAAGCGGTGGTGCAGTGGTATAGTGGTACAGGAATTTGTTCTTGTGAAGTCAGATCCAGTTTCCATTTTCATTTCTGGTTTCCGTCCGTCCGTCCTCACGTCCCGTTCTAGTGATCACATTATCTCAAGAAGCAATGGATTACCACCAAATTCGGGTCATGTATGTAACTTGTAGAGCTAATGAATTGATTAGAATTTAGGGTCACGAGGTCAAAGGTCGCAAGGCTCATTATGTATGAAAAAATAGCTTGTGATCGCGTTATCTCAAGAACCGATTGATGTATTACGGCCAAACTTGGGTCATGTATGTATCTTGCAGAGCTGATGAATTGATTAGATTTTGGGGTCACGAGGTCGTTTCGTATCTGCCTTAGTAATAACAAAAAATAGGTACGGTAAGTAATCATATGTATCTGCAATCAATCAACGTAGCACAGGACTGCACTCTTCAAGTGGGTTTCAAAATGATAGGAAAAAAGAATGTGCATTCATTGTTTCTGAAAATAAATGTGCATTGCAATTTGTATTTTCTAGTAAATTCAGTACCGGTACATAGTTTGGTTGTTTTCATTGCACAATTTGGATGGTACTGCTGTTAGGTCAGCCCTAGGCCCCGTCTTATAAAGAGTTGATATTGATCGCAACTTATTTGCGAATGATATCGATCGCTACTCTGAATATGTACATGAGAGATAGAAGACTGCAAACTTGCGATTGATTTCTGATCAATCATAACTCTTTTAAGACGGGGTCCTGAGATAAAAAATTTATCACTCTGTTTTTGTGGTTTGAATACACAACAGCAATATTGAAGTTTTTACCCTTTTGTAATATTTCAATACTTTATATTATAATTAAAGACATTAAATCAACACAAAAAAATATCAATGGAAGCACCAACTCCACCACCATGATTCTCTCTGTTTTTGCCTTAGAATGTGTATTTATGAAATGTTTCCAAGGAATTCAGGTAATCTGTAGTGTTAACCATGTTTCACTTAAAGCAATAACATCAATTTTCAACTTTCAATTACTGAAGGTACACAGATAAAGGTTCATAGTTGTTTTTCAAGCAATTCATCTGAACAAGTGAAATATTTTTAGAATTTATAATATTAGCGATCATATTATTAAAATTGTCAGGGGATTAATATAATATTTATCTGTTTCACACACTCCATCAAAGTTGTCATCCACTGATAAAGGTGATTGAGTATGCAATACTTTCTTCAAAATTTCCAAAATGACCAGGTCTTATCCATTAATTAAGTATAGACATACAGGAAATATAATTTCAAGGACATGTCAGAAAATTTCTTTTAAGAACGAAATATAACAAGGAAAAAGTCTCTTTATTCCTTAAAAATAAAAGTGAAATGTCCTCTAAGAGATATGTCATGATGTTGCACATTACCCTTAGATTGCAAGTAAGATAATTAAGTGACATTGTTTTAGTACAAATCAAGGTTTTGATGCGAGTTTTGTTTGGACCGATACAAATATTATTCCATCGGAAGACCATGCGCCGTAAACTCTGCCTTTTTTTGAGAGTCTGTATGCTTCTTGAATCAATTCCGTGTTTTTTCAGTTACCGGTAGGTCTCGTGCAATATGATTTAAGCTTAACTATAATTGGATGCGTCACCTTTACGTGCTGCTGAAGAAGGGTCGCCAACTCGATGGCTACGGTCTAAATCTTGCTCCCGAAGATCAACATGAACTCAATTCAATTCAATTTAGTATTTATTGTCCTTTTCTGGATATTTGATTTTCACTGGTGTAACATATACAGATTAACATTTACTAATGAATTTACAAAAATGTAGAGATTAACAGTAAATAAACAAAGTTTAACATATGATTAGGCACAAATTATCAGAGGATCGGAAGTTTTAAAAAAAAACACTAATTCAGAACAATATTTAACATAGTAATTGAAGCAGAGCAAGATAATCGAGGTGTCAGGTGATCAAACTAATTAACGAATTAACAAGTGAGATAAATATAAATATACTGAGGAGGTTGGGTATCCATACATGTGTTTGCGTCTTAAATCAATTTGGGAATTATTAATTAAATATAATATACGTAACGCCTCATTGGTTTCTGTGGTCCAAGCGTATCGTTGCCTAGTGACCGGCTTGCTCCGTTTCAGTTTCTGTTTATATGCCGGTATCAGCTGTATGTTCCGATGGTCTGATCGGCCTAGTTGATGACACGCCCTGGACTCCTATGCGTTTAAAATATTTCCGTAACACAGGTCTAGGGTGGCATCCCCTCTTGTAGGAATTTTAATGTATTGTTCATAATCTGATAGGGAGTTTTCTAGCCGCAACTGGTTAAAGTCGCCTAAGATGAAGATTGGGGCGTCAGGGGCAGCTGCCTCTAAACATTGCGTGTTCTCAGTTAGAATTTCACTGGCAGTTCAGGTTTGCAATTTTGTTGAGGCTCGTATCAGTTGACTTAGAAGATGTTTGATGGCTGTCTCCCTCTCATTCACTTTCATCTCAACATCCATCAACGTTGATTTTGCCTTCTCTGATAAAGTGTGAAGGTACTGAAATTTTGTTGCGAGTTCATCATAAACTTCAATTATTTTAATATCTGACTTTCTGAGACTTTCAATAGTTATGAAGCGTTGATCATGATAATCAAGTTTGCAGTGAATTTCATCAAGTTTATTTGAGATTTCATCTAATTTGCTACTACAATTGTTTGAGAGTGCCTCCTTGGAGTCCTCACTGTCTAGGAGCTCCTTGATAGATTATGCTATTGCTGTTTGTTTGGGAGGCATTGTAGCACTACTAGCTAGCTTATATTAGCCCTAGGGTCAATTAAAATTAATTACCACGTCACCGCAATCACGATTATCACACCAGTATTAGTATCAATGCATGTATGAAGTTGAAGTATGGGAAGATCCAACAATCTATCAACAGTTGGCACAATAATGGTAGCTAAATTCAATATCATTGATTCATAGTGTTACCATTCCGTATTCATTATATTAAACAGATTTCGCAGTTCTCTTCCTCATTCGCAATATATTCTTGTAGAAAGTAATTTTATTGTCCAAGTTTTAACAGGAGTCTGCAGTCATATACCGTGTATATGAAAACAAAAACTGGTAACGTTCTTATTTTCTGGATGTCTGCACAACAGTTTAAACCGAGTTTGGATAAAATCTATAATATCAACAAAACTGCTGGCAAGTTCCTGAGTTCTCTTTGGGACCAGATGTGGTTTAATTTATTTTGATTTACATAGAAATAAAAAATCATCTAATAAGATGCATTTTGCTTGGTCCCATCAAAGTCAACTTTGGCAAAAGTCAAATTTTCTTTGGCTTACTCACATATTGAGATTTCAATGTTTCCTGTCAAAGTTGATGTATGCGAAGTTGACTGTATTGAAGGTTTTAAGCATTACATGATACTCTGCATCTATATAGGCAGACTGGATACGCCTGGTGATATTTCTTTACTCTACAGTGATTTTAATTTTGATTTTGACACTTCAATACCAGAACTTGACGTTCTCTTCAATAGGGATGTAATTACTTTCTTTTCCTCCCTAGAGTTGGACAATGGACAAGACAATATACACCCACATATAACAGCATGCAGTGGAGAGGAGACCCATCTGTGTTTACATTGCAGTAAGACATTTACAGATGAGAACACTCTTATACTACATCGGAAAACACACCAGGTCGACTATGAGCTTACTAGCCACCTTGGAACACATACTGGAGAGAAAGCCTTCAAGTATTCCCAGTGTGATAAGGATAAGGGTTTTTCTCATAGAAGAACCCTTAATAGCCATTTAAGAACACACAGTGGAGAGAAACCTTTCAATTGTTCCCAGTGTGATAAGGGATTTTCCCATAAAAGTACCCTTCGTAGACATTTTAGAACACACAGTGGAGAAAAGCCTTATCAATGTTCCTATTGTGATAAGACATTTGCTCAACTGATTAATCTTACTCGCCACCTTAGAAGACATACAGGAGAGAAACCCTTCAAATGTTCCCAGTGTGATAAGGGTTTTTCCCATAAAACTTCCCTTAATCAACATTTAAGATCACAAAGCCTCACTGAAAAGCCTCTACAATGTTTCCATTGTGATAAGAGTTTTTCTCAGAGATGTCACTTTACTAGACATTTAAGAACACACGATGGAGAAAAACCTTTCAAATGTTCCCATTGTAATAAAGGTTTTTTTCAAAGTAGTACCCTTATAAGCCATTTAAGAACACACATGTACTAGAAGAAAAAAAATGTCTCGATTGTAATATGAGATTTTCTTATCAAATGTTATTAGCTAGCTTAGATAACAGGCAGGAAACCCTTTAATGTTCTTAATGTGTGTACAGGTTTTTCCGAACGAGGTCATCTTACCTGTCATGTGAGGACACACACTAGGAAAAAACCTTATAAAAGGGATGTTACTACAGAAGAGAGTGTTCCTAAAAAATAAGGAATTTTATTATATAAGTTAGCTCACAAGGCATTTAAAAACACATCCTATAAATGTTAAGATTGTATAAAGAGATTTTCTTTTAACAGTTATCTTTCTAGTTATCTGAAAATACAAACTGGAGAAAAGCCATTAAAATGTTGACTATGTTCTGAAATGGATTTTATTGTTTATACAGTGCATGATCTTGATAATTGCCTGATAACACACAGAGTAAAAATGCCACATAAATGTATTAAACATAATAAAGGGATTTTGTTGTATAAGTGGTCTTTAAAAAATAATATAATCCTAAGTTTATTGCTCCAAATCTGAATAAATAAAAAAGCAGTTTGTGAAGGAAATTTACATAATAATGAGTGGTACATTATAAACTATAACATAAAGAATAAATTGAAGATAACATTGATAACAATTTTACATACTTGTTTTGCCATTTTAATGTATGTTCAGCATTTGTCCTTGTCTTGTGGTAATAACTCTTTCCACTTTTTCTAAATAAATAATTTCCAACTTGAACTGTGACCATTATTAAATCTTTAGTTATACCAAAATTGATTTATTTACTTTGTATTCTTCCTGATCCCCCTTTATCATTCTTTTCAGAACTTCAGAGAGTACTCTTTAAATTTGTATGGAGTAATAAGAAGGACAAAATTAGACGCTCTTTGCTTTACAATGAATATAAAGGAGGAGGCCTTAAAATGCCTCATTTATTATCTTTTAACCGTGCAATGAAGTTACTTGGATAAAGAGATACTTAGATGAAGACAACAAAAGTAAATGGAAAATGTTTTTTGCACATTCTCTGAGACGTATGGGAGGTGATATTTTTTTCAGCAGCAATCTCTGCTCTGATCATTTAATGTTCAATAAATACACAGATCCTTTCTGGAATGATATATTGATTGCTTGGAGTCACTACAAGTACTACAACCCAGTTAAATTCAAAGAAATTATTTCCCAACCCTTTTGCCTGAATTCTCATATACTGGTAGGCAGAAAACCTCTCAATATTAATATACGTTTTAATTCTGATATGATATATGTTAAGAATATAATCAATAATTTTTAATTCGTCAATACAGTTATTTCTTTTTGCAAAATATTTTATACTCACTTGTAAAATGCAAAACCTTATTCCACTATTTCCTTCTTTTCAACGAGCTCTCAAACCTTTAGAAAATATGAAACGTATAATTGCTTTCAAGAAAAATTGTCTCGATCTTCATAATAAGAAATGGCAGATATTTTGTTAACTTTTTTTTAATTTTTTTTATTGCTGATGAGTTAACTATTACACTATATTTGTATTATACATATTCTATGTCTATACGAACATGTTATTATTACTATTATTATTATCATGTACTACTGTTAATATGAATGAGATTTGTTTTCAATAAATATTTTGGAGAAAAAATCTTGAACTGTATAATTTTAAGTTATTTTTGGGGCATTTATTTCGAAAAATAAAGAGTTGACCATGCATAACAAAAGCAAAAGTGTTAATTATTTTGTTACTATTCTCAACTCCAAAACATATATCTGTGACTGAGAATGGAAAACTAAATAATTTGAATTCACGGAGCAAATTACTGATATCATTCCAGAATGTTTTTACAACAGGACACGTAAAGAACAAATGAATGAACGTTTGCATATATTTGTTTGACCAAAATTGCACATCGGTGTACTTTTTATACCAATACAGTGCAAATATTAATTTGGAGAAATTCTTTGATGGAGGAATTTGAACTGAAATTCTCGTAATCTGGAATCTAAAGTTGTCAGAAGTGGCATTGTGAAACGATTTTGCCACTGTATTGTAATTTCAAGCGGTGGTGCAGTGGTATAGTGGTACAGGAATTTGTTCTTGTGAAGTCAGATCCAGTTTCCATTTTCATTTCTGGTTTCCGTCCGTCCGTCCTCACGTCCCGTTCTAGTGATCACATTATCTCAAGAAGCAATGGATTACCACCAAATTCGGGTCATGTATGTAACTTGTAGAGCTAATGAATTGATTAGAATTTAGGGTCACGAGGTCAAAGGTCGCAAGGCTCATTATGTATGAAAAAATAGCTTGTGATCGCGTTATCTCAAGAACCGATTGATGTATTACGGCCAAACTTGGGTCATGTATGTATCTTGCAGAGCTGGTGAATTGATTAGATTTTGGGGTCACGAGGTCAAAGTTCACAGGGCTCATTATGTATGAAAAAATAGCTTGTGATCGCGTTATCTCAAGAACCGATTGATTGATTACCGCCAAACTTAGTTCATATATGTATCCTGCAGAGCCAATGAACTGATTAGATTTTGGGGTCCTGAGGTCAAAGGTCATGGGGCTCATTATTAATGCAAAACTATCTTGTGAATGCATTGTCAATACTGACGGATGGATTACTATCAAACTCGGGACATATATGTATCTTGTAGAGCCAATAAACTGATTAGATTTTAGGGTCATGAGGTCAAAGTTCAAAGGGTCATACATATATATCACCATATTCTGAGGACCTGTTAATTGATTACAATCAAACTTGAATTTGAAAAATTGCTGTTTTGGTTTGTGAAATCGATCTATGGCGGAGGCGTCATTTTAGACTGCGTGCAGTCAAAGTTCCATCTATAGTTAATAATTACATTTAGTGTGAATGTAAGATTGATAATTTTTTTGAGGGGAAAGTATATATATTTTTAATTTGTTTAGTTCAGGGTAAATGGGAGGGGAGCTTGAAAGAAACGTCACAGAGTTACCAATTTGTGTATGTTTGATTGCATGTTCAAAAATTCATAACTTTCTTATTTTCAATCGTTTTTTGCTCAAACTTTTACTGAGATGATTTTGTCATTTTTCTGCTTCCGCAAAACCCAGCGCTAGATGTGGAGAAAAGCCTCATTGATGTTCCCATTGTGATAAGAGTTTTTTTCAACTAGGTGATCTTAATCATATCATTAGGACACATACATGTACTAGAAAAAAAAAAACATAAAAATGTCTTGATTGTAATAAGAAATTTTCTAATCAAAGGGATGCTATTATTAGCTAGCTTAGATAACATTCAGGTGGGAAACCCTTTAATTTTCTTAGTGTGTGTACATGTTTTTCTGAACGAGGTCATCTTACCTGTCATATGTGAGGACACACACTAGGGAAAACCTTTTGAATGTCGTGATTGTGATATAAAATTTTCTTATAAAAGGGATGTTACGACAGGATAGTGTTCCTAACAAAATAAGGAATTTTTCAATGAAGGCATATAAGAACACACCCTTCAAATGTTAAGATTGTATAAAGAGATTTTCTTTTAACAGTAATCTTACTAGTTATCCGACAATACATACTGGAGAAAAGCCATTAAAATGTTTACCCTAAAAGGGATTTTATCGTTTATACAGTGCATGATCTTGCTAATTGCCTGATAACACATAGAGTGAAAATACCACATAAATGTCTGAAGTGTAATAAAGGGATTTTTGTCTCGCCTGCGTAGCAAAAAAGCGAGAAATAGGCGCCGCTTTCCCGGTGACGGCGACGTCGACGGCGTCAACATAAAAAACTTAACCTTAGGTTAAGTTTTTGAAGTTTTGATATAATTTTTAAAGTATAAGTTCTTGTCAATGAAACTTGGACTATAGGGCTATCAAGTATCCCCAATCATGTGAGTAGAATTTCAGGTCACAAAGTCAAGGTCAAAGGTCATTCTCAGGTCAACAGACTTGGACTATGTTGTGGCATCATCATTGAAAACTCAACCTAAGGTTAAGTTCTTGAATTTTTTATATAAAGTATAAGTTCTTAGTCTTTGAAACTTGGACTATAGGATTGTCAAGTATCCCCAATCATGTGATTAGAATTTCAGATCACAAAGTTAAGGTCCAAGGTCCCTTAAGGTCAACAAACTTAGACTTTGTTGTGGCATCAACATCAAGATTTTGAATTTTTAGCATATTTTCAAAATTGTTCGTTCAAATTCCATGAAACTTGTACCAAGGGTTATCAAGTATCACAAATCATATGACAAAAATTCCAGCTCACAAGGTCAAAGGTCTTTTCAGGTCAGTAGACTTTAATTATGTTTTCACAACTTAATATGAGAATAAAATCATTTTTCTAAAATTAATTTGTTTATATTTCAATTCAGTTATCAATCCTGGTACAGTTAATAGTAAATATTCTTCTGATGATTCTCGGTCAATATTCACTTAAAAATGCTGATTATATTCAGAGAATTTCTTTTTTGTGGGCCTGATACTGGGCCACGTACCCTGCCTATGAATAATGTTCCAACCTCAATTTTCCATCATATCGAATTGCGTAATGCAGGCGAGACCGCCGAGAGTGTTCCCCTTGTTGTTGTATAATTAGTGGTCTTCAAAAAATTATATAATCCTAGGTTTATTGCTTCAAATCAGAATACATGAAAAAGCAGTTTATGAAGGACATCTACATCAATATAACAAAAATATAATAATGAGTTGTACATTATGAAATGTAGCGTATATAATACATTGAAGATAACATTGATAACAATTTTACATACTTGATATGTTTTGCCATTTCAATGTATGTTTCAGCATTTTTCCTTGTCTAGTAGCAATAATAACCCTTTCCACTTTTTCTAAATGAATAATTTCAAACTTGAACTGTATATGAATATTTATTTATTTTCTTTGCATTTATTTCGAAAAAATAAAGTGTTGACTATACATAACAAAAGCAAAAGTGTTACTTGTTTTGTTACTAGTCTCTGCTCCGAAACACATATCTGTGAGTGAGAATGAAAAACTAAATATTTTGGTTTCACGGAGCCAATTACTGATATCTTTACAGAATGTTTTTACAACAGGACAAGAACAAATGGATTAACGTTTGCATATCAGTTTGACCAAAATTGCTTATCAAAGTTCTTGTACAAATTCTTTGATGGAGGAATTTGAACTAAAGCTCTCGTAATCTGGAATCTAAAGTTGCCAGAAGTGGCTTTGTGAAACGCTTTTGCCTCTTCATTTCAAGCGGTACAGGAATATGTGCTTGTGAAGTCAGATCCAGTTTCCATTTTGACAACCGTTTTGTGCTATCTGTTTTTGTACAATAATGTTATTACTTTTCATATCTAAAGCTACCTCTGATTCTTCAAATGTATTTTTTTTTTCAGAATTCTTTTCCAACTTGCAGGAATAGTGTATACAATAGTTCAGTAATCTAAAAAAAAATGTATCGATCTCACGTTGTGCCTACAGCAGAACTTGGTGTAAGATATATAAAGCTACCATTTTCGCTCAAATAAGGAATCCTAGCCTTAATCTATTTTTTTATCAAGGATTATCTTTTTATCAATTTTTATTAATGTATTATTCCACAGTGGTTGAAATAAAATGTCGTTAAATCTAACAGGGTTGTATTACGTATAGTACGACCAAGCTGAGATAACATGTTTCTAAAACATATTTAATAATGCATGTTTGATATTTTTCGATTGGAAATTTACACCATACGGAAATATATATTTCACATATTTGAATAGACTTTAAAAAGCTGTTATACAATGCCATTATTAAAATATAACGTATACCAAATTTTGAATGTGTCAATTATAATCATTCTGAGGAGTAATGCAAAAAAAGAGAGAAAGAGATATTGAGAGAGAGGAGAGAGAGAGAGAAAGGGAGAAAGAATCAAGGATTATTAAGTATACGAACAAGAGAAGGAACAGCAGAATTTTAATACCGGCTAGTCCTGCACCTAGGAATGACCAAACCATGATTATTACGGAGGGGACGAAAATTGGGCAAGGAATCTTTAGATGGTGGAAGTAAGTTTCTGTGTCGGGACGTCAGTAGCGAATGTATATTTTTGTTAATGGCCTTAACTAGGTCAACGATCTGTCCCTGGATCTCAACAATAGCCGTCTTCTTAGTCATTTCGTCTACCTCGCATTTCATTTCCTCGCGGTTTCGAAATGTCCCATACCATTTTCCAGATCTGTGTAATGCCTCTGGAGCGTGTAATTGATACTGATTCTGCCGTGCCTAGACAATCGCAAAGTTAATCAATCTTGTTTACTAAAGAGACAAGCAGTGGCATCTTCATTAAAAAATATGCGTAATTAGTAATGTTACCTGTCATTTTAAAATTCATACCGGAGAAACTCCATATAAATGTTCCAAATGCAAGGGATTTTTATTGAAAAGTATCTAATTAGGCACCGTATATAAATCTTACAGGAGAGAAACCTTTTAAATGTACCATTTGCCTTCCCAAGAAAATGAAAAGGTTAAATTCCAACAGCATTTGAAAGATTATACTAATTTAGAACTTCCCTAAAAAAAAAAAGAAGGGGGGGGGGGCTTGAAAATGTCTTTAAGTGCACGGGAAGATAAAGAATATTAGTTGTCGAATCGACCTAGAGCCAGTAAGTAATAGTCTGATTTTCATACCATTGTACCGAACGGTCGTACGTTTTATGCTGCGCAAAGATTAAATCAGTTTGATTTTGGCCATTACAAGAAGTGGGTTATTGATGTAGACAAATGCTCATGTATACCCTTTACAGCTCATTTTATGTATGTTATTACCAAAGATGAAAAAAGCCAGTCATGCAGTCACTCAATAATGTCTGAAAGTGAAATCTAGCAAGTAAACGGGTTTCCTTGCATAATTTGAATATTAGGACACTGCTAACGTTTAAATTTCACAGATAAGACATACATGACATATTCAAAATTCCTGCAAAGTTCTACAGAATTTGGCTGCAAAAGAGACATAATAGGGTAACCCGCTCCCTAGTCGCAAGGACCGCTATTCATAACGTGGATTTTCCTATACGTGAAGGACCACTATTCATAAAACGGAAATTAAGGAGGTCACTATTCATAAAGGCATTACGACAGTTATTTATATGGACTGCTATTCATAATGTGAGATAAGGGTCAACCGCTATTCATAATATAATTGAGGGTCGCTATTCTTAAACAGGAAGAATGGTCCTTATAAATAGCGGGCAGACAATCTCTGGCGTCCGCTGGACGTCAGAGATGCCAACTAGTACGAATACGATATCACCTCTTGAAATTGTAATAATAAAATAGGGTGAATTAAGGAATCGATCAGATCAGTTTTCCCCAATTTTCATCATTAATAATGGTCTATTTTTACTCAAACTTTCAGATTATCTTAAACTGTACATCTAGCAATGAGGTCACTACCTTAGCACCATTTCTCTCATATGAACAATGTTACAAAGCCCCTTTAATGATGCTTTAATTGTTGATAAAGTAAATAGTTGGATAAAGGAATACTGTATATTTTCTTCCCCAGATAGAAAGTTGGACAATGGACAGGACAAGATACACCCACATACAACTGCATGCAGTGGAGAGAAGTCCCATCTGTGTTATACGTTGCAGTAAGACATTTACTGATGAGAACATTCTTATACTGCATCAGAAGACACATCAGGGCGAGTATGAGCTAAGTAGCCAACTTAGAACACATTTGGGAGAGAAAACTTTCAAGTGTTCCCGGTGTGATAAGGGTTTTACTTATTACCCATTTAAGAACACACAGTGGAGAAAAGCCTTATCAATGTTCCCATTGTGCTAAGGTATTTTCTGTGCACAAGGCACCTTAGAAAACATACAGGAGAGAAACTATTTACGTGTTCCCAATGTGATAAGGTTTTTACTTGCCAAAGTAATCTGACTACCCACTTAAGAACACACAGTGGAGAAAAGCCTTATCAATGTTCCTATTGTGATAAGGTATTTTCTACGCAAGGTAATCTTACTCGTCACCTTAGAACACATACAGGAGAGAAACCCTTTAAGTGTTCCCAGTGTTCTACATGCTTTTCTCAAAGAATTCCCCTCATTAGACATTTAATAACACACCGTGAAGAGAAACATTTTAAGTGTTCCCATTGTGATACAGGTTTTCCTCACAGAAGTTCCCTTATAACACATTTAAGAACACACAGTATAGAAAAGTCTTTTCAATGCTCCTATTGTGATAAGATATTTTCTAAACAGAGTTATCTTACTGGCACCTTAAAAGACATACAGGAGAGAAATCGTTTATTAAGTGTCCCCATTGTGATAAGGGATTTTCTCAAAAGGCTCATCTCACTTAATTGCCACCTTAGAACACATACTGGAGAGAAACCCTTTAAGTGCTCCCAGTGTGATGAGGGTTTTTCTCGAAGAAGCTCACTTATTAGACATTTAAGAACACACAGTGGAGAAAAGCCTTATCAATGTTCCCATTGTGATAAGACATTTGCTCAAACGAATAGTCTTACTTGGCACCTTAGAAGACATACATCTACTACAAAACAACATAAAAATGTTCCGATTGTTATATGAGATTTTCTTATCATTTGGATGTTATAGCCAGCTTAAATAATTTACAGGTGGGAAACCCTTTAATCGTTCCGTTTGTGATACAGGTCATCTAACTTGTCATGTTTATAGGACACACACACTAGAGAAAAACGTTTTAATTGTCGTGATTGTAATAAAAGATTTTCTTATAAAAGGGGTGTTACGACCATTGTAGAACACATACAGGAGAGAAACCATTTAAGTAGTCCTAATAAGATAAGGAATTTTCTTGTAACAGTGAGCTCCAAGGCATGGAAACCCTAAAAATGTTAAAATTGTATTAAGTGATTTTCTTTTAACAGTAATCTTACTAGTTATCTGAGAATACATACTCGAGAAATGCTATTTAAATGTTTACTTTGTTCTAAAGAGAGATTTTGTCTTTAATATAGAGCATGATCTTGCTAATTGCCTAATAACACACAGAGTAAAAAATCCACTTAAATGTTTTAAAAGTTATAAAGGGATTTTAAACAGAAAGGAGGTCACTATTCATAAAGACTTAAGGACCGTTATTCATAATGTGAGTTAAGGGTCGCTATTTATTATCCACATTGAGGATATTACTCATAAGGACAGCTATTCATAATACAAAATGAGGGTGATACATATAATACGAGAAGAGGGTGAATAGCAACCATCTTCTTGTATTATGACTAGGGACCTCTGTAACAACCCCTTTGTATTATGAATAGCGATCGACCCTCTTCTCTCATATTATGAATAGCGGTCCTTAGGAATAATGGCCCTTTTGTCAAATTATGAATAGTGGTCCTTATGAATAGTAGTTCTTATGTTTAGCGGACCTTATAAATAGCGGTCCATATGAATAACGAGCTGAGCCTTCTGGCAAGTGTCCCATAAGCTTAAGCATCTGAGAACACATGAGAACCGGCCATGAAGAACACATGCAGGGGAAAAGCCTCTGTAATGTTTGCATTTTAATAATGGCCTAGAGACGTGTAATGGTCTGTATAAGTAATGTGGTCTTGTGGTTACTTCACCGGACTGAATCCTATGTTTCTCGATTCAATTCCTACTGCAGCACTTGTGTCCCTCGGCAAGATGTTAATCTATATTTGCCACTCCACCTAGATGTTAAATGGGTACCCTATAGCCTGCGAATTTTGCTATGGTTGAAGTGACATGTGTGCACTTGTAAAATGGCAACTGGCTCAAATACTACCCACTGCCCAGGGAGTGGAGCATGTTGAGATCAGCAATTGAATCTAATGACTCGGGTATCAATAATAATGACAATGTAAAATACTAATTAAAAGCTTAGTATTAAGCACTAAACAAACATGAATATTATTATAGAAAGTTAAACAAATATGACTCTTTAATATTATATTAAGAGTTTTACAAATATGACTATTATAATTATAAAGAGTTATACAAATATGACTATTATTATTATAAAGGTTTTTTTTTATATAGAGGAAATCTTATTTCATAGCCTTGTTAGAAATATATAGGTGAAAGTAGGGAATCAAGGCCTTATCAACTTCTCGTTTCAAAAATTTCCTTTAACTATAGCCTTCTACATCGAAGAAATGCCTTATACTGTATTTGTAGGGTTTGGGGCTAGGTGTCTTTTGGAAAGCAGATTTCCGGTTTTGAGAAAATGCCCTTGATTGCCCTGCTAATTAGTAGTGCTATTTCTCTTTTGCATCTTTTATCAGATTTGTAATGATTTTCTCATACTCTTTATTTCTCTGCTCACTTTTACATTGAATATTTTTTCTCTTTCATTTGTCATGAAAGAACTACAGTATTATCTTGTGTAATAAAATTGATTTTGTATCTGTAACTCATGTTATTGTATAGTAAGCCTATGGCACATTATAGGATTTCACTACCATCCTTTTTTGGAATAAGTTGCATTAGCATTTGATGTGAATATTCAATTATGTAAAAATTGTTTTGATCGAGGCTCTGAATTTTTGTATATCACCTTTATCATTCTATTAAGTGGTTTATTTCATTAAAAAACATACGCGGCCCGAGAGCCGAATTGCTTTCTTTTATTGTTTAAGTATACATCATTGAAGAAGTAAAATTGCACATAAAACATATTTATGGTAACATCGTAGTAAAATTGCAATTCTTTTATATATATATATATATATATATATATATAATATATTTGAGCTTCTTCGACGCCTGCTTCGGCTACAATTACTCCACAAAAATTCAGTACATTAATATTTTACATTAATATTTTATCGTGGAGTATTTCATTCCATCCCAAACATCATTTGTATAAATAGGAATTATTAAGTTTATACAGGATCGCCACGCCTTCGATCTGAGCTTATGTGGCAATCCTTCTTCCTGGTTATGTTATGTTAATATAACAATGTAAGTATTTGACTTTGATGATGTATTGATTATACCATTTGTTGATTATCATGGTTATGTTGTAATTAGTTTGTAACCCCTTCTTGTCAGAGGTTTTCCCTGTTATTACGTAATTTATACTTATGCATTTTATTAATGTCATGACTCCCGTGTGAATTTATGTACATTGTGTGACGTATACACACGTGTTTATCAATTATTTTGTAACTATATTGTATTTTGTTTATGTGCTGCCAGTGGAGGCCAATTTTCTATATTTGAATATGGATCAATAAAAGAATCTTTCTGGAAAGTCAAAACAGCTCTGAATTCTAGTGATGTCTGAACAATCATGCAACACTCTATTTAAAGCTAATTTTGTATTTACTCCAACTAGACTTTACAGTGCATAACAATTTCATAGAATTTTTCATGACCTAAATCAAGAAGATTATTTTTGTTTATATTTGTATGATGTAAATGTAATTTCTTGGGAAATCGGATCACGGTGGAATCGTTCATTCATTGTATGTGAGCCGTTGACTGTTAAAAGTCCAGGATTGCAAGATCCTGAAAAATCTTGTGTGAATGTCATGATGTCTATGGATTTCTAGGAAAATGTTCATGTTCATATTTTTTCAATCAAATTCATGTTAGTGGTATTTCTTTTCTTGGGTAGTTCATATGTCCAACCATTTGAATAAAGCGGAACCTCGTTATTATAACAAATTCATTGTGATTAAGAAAAATTGCCTTGTAATTACTTTGAAACTCATATTTAATCAGGGAGTAAAAGTAAAATGAAACATTAAGAAAAAAGAAAGGCAAATAAACAGTATCACACAGAGTATTAGGAGTGATAACCTTTTTATTAGGATATATACATGTATCAGCAGTGTTCTTCCTTACAAGGTAATACTTAAATCTCATAAGGAATAAAAAGTGAATAAATTTGTTTTTTCTCACATTTCAATTCAGTTCAATTCAATAATAGTTTTATTTGACAATGCTTTCTAGCCATTTCTCAGTATCATTTCATTTTACATTGTACCATTAAAAACTGCATTTAAGATCAAGTGACAAATTATATTTACTTAAGAATACAGTAATTGAGGAGTGTGTTTTAAAAATCAGAGAAAATGGGCACTCTTTATTGTTATAAATTTTCATGTAAACCATCAATAAAAGTATAAATATCAAATTAATAGAATATTAATACGGTGTACTTAATTCAATTGAATAGATGTTTATTTATTAATAGTTGTAGCCATGTGTACATATTGTTTGTGTTGCACATTCTCAGGTGCAGATGTCTTTCCAAGAATTTGATTTGTATATATGCATGTTTTCATTGTAGATTCAAATATATCATGTTCATCATCAAACTCATGCCTGTTGATTGTATTCATCCATGTACCCAATTTATTTGTTTTTTCATACAATAAATTACAGCCTTTTCTCTGTACGTCTTGGAATCTCTCTTTTGTCTTTATGTTTTAAACCTTTGTTTTTTGTTTTCTCGTTATTTGTATATATAATTGCAGGTACTCACCTCATCTCTCTTCCTGAAGGGTGTGTGTGTGTGTGTATTTGGGTTTTTACAGACGTGTATCAATCAAATATGATTATTGACGTCTGGTGACCGATTTTTAACGTTACTATCCGAAAGACGTGACTCGGTTTCAAACCTGCGTCCGATCGGCTAAATCAGTTTGTAACTTCCACTGTTAGCTGGATTACAGGCGCACGCCACAACGCTAAGGGGAATTAAGGCCACCCTTTCATACTAAACAGGGCTCAGTAGGCCTACTAACTGGTCCCCGGGACACATGGGCCCCTAAAATCTAAATCCAGATTCCTGGCCCCACAAATAATAAGATTCAGCGTAGGGCTCATGCGTGCACTTTAAAGAGCTCAATCCAGACCTCCTCCTCCCCCGTCCCCAACTACAACAAAATCAGTAGAGAGCCCTGAATTAGAGCAGAAAAATTAAATGGATCAACAAAAAAATTGAGGAAAATCTGATATCCACTTGATAGCCTTTTTACGCAGCTCTCCCATTTGCTTTATACTGACATTTGGTAGGCTCTGGATTTAGATTTTAGGTGCCCATTTGCAGGGGCGTCGCTAGACCTTTCTCAGTGTGGGGGGGGGGGGGGGGGGGGCGTGTAGACGCCAACGATTACCGACAAAACTAGCCACCAATTACCGACAAAATTAAACGTCCAATAGCTACAAATTTAACCCTTTAAACCTGGGGCCGAAGGCTAAATTGTTTTTCCTATCGACTATATCCATAGCACTTGAGTATGCGCAAATGGTCATTTTTTTCTCGACGACATAAATATACGAATTATTTCGTCAACTTAGTCAGCATCATAGCTATATGATTTTAATGCAGGCGCGGAGCTAGGATTTTATTTTAAGGAGGGGCGGTAGTGAGCAAGCGAATCATTTAAAGAGCGCGCGAAGCGCGCCCATTAAGGGGGTGTGAGTGATAAAGCAGACGATTCGGTGTACTGTTCTCGTCTCTTAATCCTTATATGAATTCAGTTCTAGCTCTCCCTCCCGTTTCGACGTGTCATTAAATTATTAGAGAAAGTAGATGATTCGTTGAACCGTGCTCGACTTTTAATCCTTTTCTGAATGAGGCTTCCTCTCCCCCATCCCCCCCCCCCCATCCCGCGCGGAGCGCGAAAGCTTTGACGTTTCATTAAATTATTTTTAAAAGAAGACGATTTGCTGTACCGTTCGCGACTGTTAATCCTTGTCTGAATTCAGTTTCCCCCCTCCCGTGCGAAGCGCGAAAGCTTTAACATTTTCATTAAATTATTATAAAAAGAAGACGATTTGCTGTACCGTTCTCGATTGTTAATCCTTGTCTGAATTCAGTTTCTCCCCCTCCGCGCAAAGCGCGGAAGCTCTGACGTTTCATTTAATTATGAGAAAAAGCAGACGATTCGGTGTACTGTTCTCGTCTCTTAATCCTTATATGAATTCAGTTCTCCCCCTCCCGTTTTGACGTGTCATTAAATTATTAGAGAAAGTAGATGATTCGTTGAACCGTGCTCGACTTTTAATCCTTGTCTGAATGAGGCTTCCCCCCCCCCTCCCGCGCGAAGTGCGAAAGCTTTGACATTTCATTAAATTATCATAGAAAGAAGACGATCCGTTGTACCGTTATCGACTCGTCTAAAATGAAGTTTTCCCCTTCCGAGCTAAGCGCGGAATTTTTGGCGTTTCATCACAATATAGATAAAGGAAGACGATTCGTCGTACCGTTTTCGACTCTTCGTAAGCCCTATTCATCTAAAATCAGTTTCCCCCTTTCGCGCGCGAAGCGCAGAAGCTTTGACGTTTCCTTAAATTATTAGAGAAGGAAGACGATTCGTTGTACCGTTCTCGACTCGTCTAAATAAAAATTTCCCCAACTGCGCGAAGCGCGGAATTTTCGGCGTTTCATCACAATATAAAGAAAGGAAGACGATTCGTCGTACCGTTTTCGACTCTTAGTAAGCCCTATTCATCTAAAATCAGTTTCCCCCTTTCGCGCGAAGCGCAGAAGCTTTGACGTTTCCTTAAATTATTAGAGAAAGAAGACGATTCGTTGTACGTTTTTCGACTCTTAATAAGCCCTCTTTGTCTGAATTCAGTTCCCCCTTTCGCGCGAAGCGCGGAAGCTTTGACGTTTCCTTAAATTATGAGAGAAAGCATACGATTCGTTGTAATGTTCTCGACTCTTAATCCTTTTCTGAATTCAGTTCCCCCCCTCCGCGCGAATCGCGGAAGCTTAGACGTTTCCTTAAATTATTAGAGAAAGAAGACAATTCGTACGTTCTCGACTCGTCTAAATGAAGTTCTCCCTCCCGCGCGAATTTAATGAAACGTCAAAACTTCCGCGTTTCGCGCGGGAGGGGGGAAAACTGAATTCAGATAAGGATTAAGAGTCGAGAACAGTAGGCCTACACCGAATCGTCTGCTTTTTCTTATAATTTAATGAAACTTCAGAGCTTCCGCGC